GCGTGGACAGCCACGAGGCAATTACAGGGTCGCGAGCAGAGTTCCGAAACGCGTCTATGGGCGCACCCTTTGCAGCAGTATGCGACCCGTCCCGTCAGGAAACCTACCACCCACTGTAGTTTACACGTCATATATTTCGCTTCTTCGACCTCCAATTCATTGTACCACCTGCCTTCTAACCCTACATAGCTTGATTTAGGAGATCAAAGTAATAAATAGTAGTTTGAAACAAGACATAAATATTATCAAGCTGGGATCAACACAAATACTATTCGTGAGTGATTATACGAACAAAAAGAACCTTTATGCGAAAGCATTTCCGAGGTTATCTGAAGGTGAAAGCGAGAAAGGTCAAAGAAGTGGAAAATGGTTTGTACCAGAAATGGACGTTGGTGGATGGAATGTAGCAAGCTCTTATCAGTCCCGATCAAATAGGTAGAGTCGTATTCTCGCAGATAGACATGTTGGCATGAGGCATATTGCAAACGCTACCGTTGCGAACGATCATTTTTAACACCAACCCATAGAGGGTTGAGTTCATTTGTTACACCTTAAATATGGTCCCTTCACATTAGATGAAATATTTGAATAAGTCAACTTTTGGACTTCGTCGTTATTTTTTACGCTGGCCTTCCTGGTCAAGTCATAGCTTTTTACCGCGGTAAAATCTGAGGAAAACAGAAAACGAAGCTTTTGTCAAAAAAAATCTATTTCAGTGCTATTATTTCACTAGTACCTCGAATCTGTCGCCCTTCTTCACTACTCTGTGTACTTTTTATCTTATATCAATCGATATTGTATAGTAATACTGAAATACTGGAGATGTCTTTGTCCGCATAGACCTCTTCTGCAATGCGCGACTCATGACCGCTTTTGCAAGCCATATGGATATGTGGGGTGTCGCAAAACAGCAATCGACAAACATTATCAGCGAAAGTATGTAGGATAGGACCCGGAAATCGATATCAGTCCACTTGGAGCACAGGAACACATAACTAGCACATTTCGCAGTCGTCTGTCTTTTGCTTGGACTGCCGTTTCTGTTCGCTCTTTCCGCAAACGACCATCGAGAGATTAGAGCTTCACTAATTCTTGCTCTGAAAACGTTGTACATCGAGTTCCCCAAGCGGGCGATAGTAACGCCTATACTCGTTCCTGTCGCGCCCCGGTCCACGTGATCTTCAGTCCTTGCGAAAACACTAGTGCCCCAATCTTCACCATTGATGGAGTTTGGAGTTCCGGATTTCCCTCTGCACGTGCGTGTCGCATAATTCAAGCATCGTCCTCTCGACAGCGCGTTGGATGACCCTGTGTCCTGCCTGCGCAGAGTCCAAGTCTCTGAGGCGTAGGTTAGGGCAGGAAGGACAGCGGAATCGAAGAGGTGGGCACGGAGCCGGATGTTCTTCGTCTTCTTCACTACTCCCTCGATGTTCTTGTACGCTCCCCAAGCCGCTCGTTTCCTCCTGCTCAGCTCTGGAGCTAGATCGTTCATCATATTGATTTCCCGACCTAGGTACACGTAGCTGGAGCATTCGGTGATGTTCGTTCCGTTGAGCGTGAATGGGGCATCAGGAACCAATCCGTTTCTCATAAACATCGTCTTCGTTAGGTTCAGCTGTAGACCAACCTTACCACAGGCGCAGTCGAAATCAGCCAGCATTCGCTCCGCTTGCTCGATGTTCGGCGTTATAAGAACGATGTCGTCAGCAAAACGAAGGTGGTGTAGTTGCCGGCCGTCGACCTTCACTCCCATGTCTTCCCATTCCAGTTGACGCATGACGTTCTCGAGAGCGGCGCTGAAGAGTTTGGGCGAGATGGTGTCGCCCTGTCGAACCCCTCTCTTGACGTCGATGATGAGTATTGCTCCCACTTTACTTCAGATAGCATTTGTTCTACTTACTTGTGCAACATGGTCCGATTAAGTGTGGAGTGTGTCCGTGTGTTGGTGTGTAAGTTTGTTTGTCCGTCTGCAAAATGAAGTGAGGCAGAAAGTGGAGAGATCATCCGCTAACAGCTGAGAAGCTCAAATGTTTCGCAATGTCGAAGTTTCGGGATGAAAAATTTGTGATAGTGACGAGCTATTGTAAATTACTATGTTCTTTGTTTCAGGAAAGAAGAGCGTCGAGTGCAGACCACACACCACAAGTGACGACGGTATCCAAGTAAATCTGGTAACTAGTGTTCATAGTGATAGCTGATTTTGGTAAATGATAGTTGTAATTAGTGACAACTGATAGAATACAACTGCAACAGGCTAATCATTGGCAGAAAACATTTACATTTTGTAAGGTCGTCACTTGTGGTGTGTGGTCTGCACCTCGACGCCCTTCTGGTTTTCTGCAGAGGGTAAAAAGAAATAAATAAACACCGTCGAATGGCATCTCCTCATCGATTTCAAGTTTTGTTGCCTCGGCAGCTGTATGCAGGAAGGGCAGGGGCAAGGGGAGAGGAGAGTGAGGAAAAGGTATTCTTCCGCTACGGGAATTGGAGTCAAAATCAGTGGTGAGGTATCTAGAAAACGTAAGGCTTACGGAGGTATAGAGAAGAGGACAAAACGTACGTTTCCTCAATGAATTATGCAAGCTGCTGGCAAGGCGTAATCATGCTTCCACAAGCTGAGATCTGAACCCTAGTGACATATTTACAATTATGCTGTGAGTTCTTTGGTAAAAAATAAGGAAGCACCCGTAATACTCCCTCATGTTCTCTTAGTACCATGTTTGTTTTGTTGCCAGGTTTACGGCATCCTGTTTATTAGGCATTATCGTGAAACTGCATGTTGCTTTCTGGCTGTAAACATAAGTACAACAAGTGTTGCTTACTAATGAGTAGCGCTAGTTGGTTTACTGGAATTGAAATCTCGATTTTTCTTGAGCTCTCTGTGAGCGATGAAAAATTAGTAACGAAATCTAGCGTATAATGGCAGGGAATTTGTGGTCAGTTCCAGGTGTCATTTCTGAGCGAGGATGAGGGTTCTAAGCGCAGACGCGGGCGAGGATCCTTAGGGATGACAAGCAGGGTGAAAATCGTGTCGAGTACGTGGTCGCAGAGGTACGACCCCCCCCGAAATCGAGATCCTGGCACGACCCCCTCTAACAGAGCAAATTAATTCAATTAAAATAAATCCTGCAAAACAAATCAAAAAAAATTCTGCAAAATAATGCTAAGGACGCTTCATCTTGTCATCTATGCACGTCTTCCATCGCTGCATACTTTTGTGTACATACTGAAATATCGACTCGAGGAAAGAGGCATTAACTTTGTGTGACCTCAAGGCGAGGTTCGTTCAGAAACGCACAGAAATCCTGAAGACACGGGGTTGCGATTCAATCTTGATTCTTGCTTGAGTATATCAAAACAGCCGAGTGTATCAAAGGCCGATTCAACGGCAGCTGCGGCGCGATTGTCACTGGGTCAGATTTGCCGAAATTTCAAAAAAAAACGTCCGAATCTACACCCTCGATGAAAAGGTTGCATTCCTCCATTTCACAACCTTTGAAGCAGCTTGAGGTAGAGTTAGATAGAGCTGGATTTTCGTTTCCAACAAGCATCGAAATTGCTCTGGAAGCCTTCCTTGCAGAAAGATAGGGTCTGTCAAATTTCGTCGAGTAAATGTCGAGGAGGCCGAAATTTTCACGAGTTTTTGCCACTTCAAGAGCAATATATCTCTTATATTGTAAGATCCTGAAAAAGGGAAGATAGTTTTGGAAAGCGGAAGGTTTGCGCTTCCTGATGGTCTGTTTAGTTTTCTTCTACAGCTTTTTGGTTGAAGAGATAATTGCGTCGAGGATCTATCGAGGACGGATCCGGCCACCTGGAAATCCGCTCCCTCATTCACCATTGCAAGTGTGACTCGTTGGCAACACTCGGAATGTGTCTAGAACAATATCTTTGAACGCAAACAATAAGAATAGGAGCAATCGTCATCATCCGATTTGGTATTGGTATAAGCCATGCATCCCTCCTCCACTCACAGTTGCAGAATCGATTGAAAGGTGTTATATGATGGGGACCTTCGAACGAAACTGTATTGTAGTAGACATAGTGTGTTGTGCTATTCCTGTAACCTAAAAAACAACTTCATTTGCCCAGCGCTTTTTCTTCACGGTTGTCGTTTTTCCGACAGGGTCCCTAACAACAGCGTCATTCTCAGCGAGGTATTAAGGGAGAAGGAGCGAGTGATAGGCGGAGGAGGTGCCTTTGCAGCGCGTGCGCACATGTGGCACTCTTCTTTGTACGCCTTCTCATGAAGGTGGAGGAATGGAGCGACTGAACCTGCAAAGAAAATTTAATATCATGTTTTTTTCGGATGTTTTCATTTTCTGCTGCGCTATACCCTATTACCTATCTGCACCATGATACCACTTCTGTTACTGACCCCAAGAGTACGACCCCCCATGGACCAGCCCAACAGGTACGACCCCCCTGTCGAGGATTTCCTCGACCGATATTCGCCTGGTCGAATAGAAAGAGGCACGACTATAGGCCCCATTTCGGTGGCCGTGTGCGTATCGTTAGTCAATCACGGAATAGGAATGTTCGCACCTCGCGCGGCGGCTTACTCTTGGGGCGGCGATCCATCCCCCCTTGCGCGTTGTGGCCTTTGTCATTACCACGGTTCGAACCTAACAAGGGATTCAGCGTTTGCATGTGTGCTTGTTGCTTTGTGCTGTGGTGCTTTTGTTTCTGCTGTGGTGCTGTTTGCTTTCGAATTGCACTGCTTGCCAATTCAAACAGTAACTTTACGTTTAAAGCTCGGCTAGTGAACTATAGTAGAACAACAAACTTGTCTTCAAAGCATCGTTAGTAGGAAGCTGTGTAAAAGATTGATCATTCTTTCAACACCAGCTCGATGTGACCAGGAAGGACTGACGAGATTTTGCCATCCTTAGACTTGTGTTCCTGAAACAAGCTTATGCTGAATTTGTACCGCTACAGCAAAATTGACTAAGGCGATTCAAAGAGCCAAAAGCAGTTGAAGACCTACAATGGGCTTCAGATCAGGAGAGGAGTAATAGACCAACATCAGATTTTTGGAAAGAGTCAATCACCAGGGTACCATCTGGTTGAACGTGAGCGCTGGACTTTGGCTTCACGGGAGTGTTATCCTAAATGTGATACTGTCATTCAATATTAAACCACCCAGGTAGTATATTGTTGGACTCGAGATTGGAGGGTAAAGGCTCCAAATCGTCTCTTGAAAAGCGATAAAAAGCATAATGATTTAGTATTAGTAGTCGAGTCACGGAGCCAAAAAGCGCGGTCAACAGAAGGTGCGCTCCGAGATCGAAATATTAGTTACTACTCATAAATTAGAAATTAAGGCTTATAATGCTCCGCTGAATATCTAACAAATGAAGAAAGGTACGAAGAGCCTTGTCGAAGGTCAGATCCTCATTTTGAGTGCCAGTACTATTTTTTAGGCTGTCATGTTTGCAAAAATAGTATCCACACTTAGAGTAGTTGTCTGGAATAATTTCAAAATTTTATTGCAATATCGATGCACCAATAATTTCACTCCGCCCTGTTAGCAAAATAGATGGCTTACCTCCTTGACAAACTGTCCGCAACGAGGTCCCTTTTCTGTGGGACCGCAATACTTGATGAATTGTTCGCCTTCGCTCGTCTTCCGCTTCCAGGTCACTACTCCTGGCCCAAGGCTCAATTCAACACGTTCTCCTAACTAAAATTATAACATCTTCTCCTTTTGGGTTATTTGAAATTTTTACATGACTGTACCTTTGCTTGCTGGATAGCCACTGAACCAAACGCACTGCCGACTACGGTAACGAGAAGAACGATTTGAGTCCACATTCCTGAAAAAAAAGTTTAGCAACCTGGAAAGAGGGTCGTTCAGAAAACACGAGTTCACATTCGAAAATTCGCCTATCACGCCTATGTGTCACACATAGTTCGAACCAGTTTTCTGGACCAATAAAAAGTGTTCCTATTTGACCTGCCTGATGAAAACTGAGATCTGGGACTGGTAGCTCCCGTCATTGCTGATAAAGAGACGAAAACACATCCAGTAGGAAAACTAACTTCGACGCAACTCGATGTAACGATGGAGCAAAAGTAGCACTCAACTGTTTCAAATGTACGCACATGTGTGAGAAAACATCCTCGGCCCACCCCATTGTTACACCACTTAACCACCCTCCACCCCATGTACTTAAAAACTGAAAAGCTGTAGCGTTGTAAGCTATCCTCCGCAAGTGTGTCTGAAAATGATATATTAGCCGCAAATTGAAAATGGACCATGTTGTCGTCTCACGACTAGGCTTCTATTAAAAATAGTGAAAGGATTAAGATTTTTGGTTGGCTTATAGAACGGAAGAAAAATCAGAAAGTATTTAATTCAAGAGTTTCTACCCTACCTATATTTGTTATACGAATTTACTAATCCAGGGGCCGTAAGGTATGCTTCCCCGAATGGTTGCGGGGACGAAAGTCCCTTTAAATTTTTTGTTTTGAACGATACTGTTTCTTTATTTTCAATGCATGCTTACTTTAAGCTACACACATATATTAGATGTAGGCCCTTTATCAGGACAATCCCAGTTGGGACTACAGAGAAAATTTAAAGGAACTTTCGTCCCCTAACCCTATCAGGGACATACCTTACCCCCAGAAGCTGATCCGTACCTCTCTCCTCTCTGCTACTGCAATCAGCACCATTAATGCGCTCTGATATGTGATAGATAAATTGCTTATCAAATAGCATCACTTGACTCCTCGAGTTGTTAATTTCAACTCTGCGAGTATGTCGGTCGATTGTGGGTGTTTAAATTGGTATAAACCGCTCTAGTGTTAGCGCCATATATAAAAAACACTGTCAGAAAATCCATCCAGGACACACACCGAATCCGACTTTTCCCCGCCTCTTTGACTTTCAACTATGGGAAGTCCTAGCATCCAATTAAAAGGTCGTTTTGTGACGTTAAACCACACACGACTAATCTGGCGCCCCGCCTACTTACTCTATCTTTGATTTCGCAAAATAGCATGCCCGATGCGTTTAGACACTTAAACATCGTTGAAAAGCGGAACGTGGCTATATCAAAATGATTGAGCGAACCAATTCCTATTGCTAACACAAGTGGGCGAATATATTCACGCGGTCAATCTTCATCATTTAGATGCGTAGTGCTCCGACTGTACTTGCGATGACTTCATACGTTTGTCTGCGAAACACACACCTTGCTTGCTCTTAGTACGCCTCGCTTTCCCCGTTTACTGGTTTTCCCAGTTGTGAGCGGAATATTGCATTTCCGCGGCTGAGCAACACACGAGAAGTTTATCCAGGCAATTCTCTCCGATCACGTGAATATGCATAAAGGAGTGATAAGTGTCTGTACAGAAATCTTATTGGAAGCGAAACTCTGTGAACATGTAATGCAAAAGCGGCACCGGTACATTGTGGAGAGATCATCTACATATGTAATTTAAATTACATAACATACCAGCATTCAATACAATGGAAAGACCCCCCAGGAGCGGTCATCGTAGGCCTTAGTTTAAAAAGATCAATTCGATCACCTTTAGGAATTTTTAGCCTAGACGATTCCTTTACTACTCTCTGTCGGGTGACTGACTGTACCCGAAAACAAGGCTCAGCAGACCCCCACCAGATGGGCAGACCCTCTCGTGAAATTGTACGGCCAGCTGTGGCGCAGAAGAGCCCGAAGCAGACCTGGAAGATGTGCGACCTGCGTTTCTGGCGTGCCCGGGACGAATAGCGGTCGAGAAGTAGGAGAAGTAAGAAGTAATAGAACCTTACCTACCTATTGGACGTGAGCAACTGAATTCAGAAATTTCTTTCACTCTCGCAAATCCCGAAGGCGATTAAAAATATTGAAATGGACGCACTTATGTTGTGATGTTTACATGTTGCTTCGAGGTTTATGCAAATGTCCAGCAAATACTGCCCAAAATTTCTAGTGGAATCCAAATGCTTCTACTTACTTCCTTCCACGAAAATATCTAATTTCTTGTGAAAACTAATTCAATTCTGAAAAATTACAGCAGCCAGCTTCGAGCTTATATAGTTCTATGCACATATTCCTTCATTTTCGGAGGAAGATTCGAGTGGAATTTGCCTCATTAGATGAGCCATGCTGTCGAAAAACATTCGAAATTACGAAGGCATTTGAATGACTGCCTCACAGAAGGAAAGGTGGGCCTGTCACCATCACAACAATACACAAAGTATGAGTACACCATGCTACATATTTACATATGATCTTCGCGAACAGAGAGGTGGCATATGAATTCGTTCGATTTGATTTTGCGGATCGCTAACAAGGGAGGTCTTTCAGGACATGGAGCGCTTTTTCGAAATGGTTTTCTGCATGTTGTAGGGGCTCATGCGAGGAACACAGAACCATGATCCATTTTTCCTGAACGCCTCCAGGAATGTCAAAACAGTGGTGAAGAAATGGTCCAGAGTTCGATCCCCGGTGATGACTAATTTTTGCAATATAGTTTGGCGCCCCAGATTGCCGCCAAATGGCGCCATCGTCGAGAATAGATGTCATTGTCGTGTTTTGCGGCAATTTGGAGGCGCCAACATAAATTGCAAAAATTTGTCATCACGGAGGATCGAACTTTGGACCATTTCTTCCCCGCTGTTTTGACATTCCTGGGGCGTCAGGAAAAATGGACCATGGTTCTGTGTTCCTCACATGAGCCTCTACAACATTCAGAAAACCATTTAAAAAACGCTCCATGTCCTGAAGACCCCCCTTGTAAGCACGGGAGAACGGGATGCAGCCAGGTTGACCTATTGTTGTATTTCGTGATTCCTTTTTATTATTTCGTGATTCTTTTTTATTTATTAGCAGTAATCTATGCGTAATCTATAAAGAATTTCAGCTATTTTGAATGGAAAGTCTTCGTCCAATTCCGGAAAGGTATAATTTCTACGGTGGAGCATGAGAAGTAATAACAATTTC